CATCTCATTCAAAGACTGCAGGCCGGTGAGTGGGAACCACTCCCCTGCCAACACCCTGAGACTCCGCCTTAGGGCCTGCACTGCACTGGGCCCCAGCGGCATTCGTTCCCACTTCTGGGCCCACTGGGGAGGCAGCCTGGCCTTGAGAGTTGAGAGCATCGACTCTGCGCCCAGACTGCCTGGGATCAAGTCTCAGCTTGGCTGAGCAGTAGCTGTGAGAACCTGGAGTCGAACTTTGGTCTGAAGAGCAAACATAAAAATTAACCAAATGAAAGAGCAAGTAGAAAGCAATTCCTAGGCAGAATCATGAACCCTAGCGCTGTCCCTTTTGTGGCCCCTGATGGGAAATAACTCAGTTTCCAGAAGTGAGGAGTTGGCCCAGTTCCCTGGGGGTTTCTGGGCTGTGGCACCTGCATACTTCCATGTCCCCATTGACCTAGTCTGCCGTCAGCTTTATCAATACAGATGCCATTTGGGGCATCAAAGGTAATCCTGGCCTGCCAGTGCCTCAGATCTGATCAAAGCAACAGAAGAGCAGAAGGCAAGGGCTTGTGCCTACAAGGCAGGAGCTCTAACATCACCAGGCCTTGAGAAAGCTACGCCGCCCCTGCCCTGCACACACTGCCACCTGCCTGGCCTTGCCCTTCACCAGCCTCAGGCAGAAGAAAAACGTCATCAATGCAGAGGTACCTGTGCCTGCTGCCAGCATGAGGGACCCTCTTCACAACGTGGGTGGCCCAGGTCCTCCACCTCGGTGCCCAGCCTGGACGTGGAAGCAGGGCGACCTCTGCCCAGAGGTGAGGGTGTCGGCACTGATCTCTCAGGCGGCCCTGCCCCACCTTTCATCCCTCCCATCCGAGCGCAACTCAGAGGAGGGTGAAGGAGCAGACACACAGGATGCTCCCCGAGTGGCATGCCACAACTGCCACTGTGTTCCCCAGAGCTGTCCTCTAAGCCAGGGGTCCACACGAGTCTCAGAGTCCAAGAGAAACCACATGCAGATATGTGAGTTTTTCAGGAGAGCAAGTCCTCAACACTCACCAATATCTCAAAAGTTGAGAACCAAAGCCTAGAAGCGGCCCTGTGCACCTAGAATAAGAGTTCCTGAGGTGCAGGGGGCTCAGGAGCTCACGCCATGGGCATGCTGGTGTCTCTGGGGGGAGTCTGCATTCAGGAGATTCCAGTTATAGCATCCCAGCACCGAACATGCTGTGACAGAATGTTTCACTTGTGTGGTACAAACACGAGAAACTTTGTAAGAATAGGGACAGGATTCTACCCTCAGGGCCAAACCGTCTGACGCACGGAAGGTGTTCAAAGGTGTCTGTAAAATGACAGACTGTTATCACAGGCCAACTTTTGGAACGCTGTGGTTGAAACTACATGTATTTGTTGCTTTAAAAAAAAAAGTTCCCTGAACTAGGTTTGAGGAGCGGAAAGCTACATCTCCTGCATTCCACAGTAAACATTCTAAGTTAGTACTAGTGACAAACATGGGCCAGACTCACATTTTCACAGATGATGAGGCTGAGCAATTTGCCCAACGGCAACAGCCGCACAGTGTCTGCAGGTAAGTCACCAGTGGACATCATATGGAAAGTGACGCAACCTAGAAATACCCCCACAGTTTTTTACATTCAAATGTCAGTTATTAATTCAAAAGGAAATGAATGATTAGCCACAAAATTAAAATTAATACATGTTTTTCTTTGAAAGGAACTCCTTAGTTTGAGTTAAAGAAATGGATAAAACTTTACGAGTATTTGCAAAGTCATTACAATCTCCTTCAAACTAACCACAATTCTGAGGTTAAAAGACATAAGCAATAATATCAACTGACTATGTATGTATTAATCTAATGACATAAAACTGAAATTTAAAAAAATTATTCTAAGCCAAGGATATTCAAGGCTCTGGTCCCCTGGTTGCCAGCCTCTCTGTGTTCCTGGGGCTGGTCCCAGGGAACGGCCAAGCCGAGGCTGCCCGGCGTCAGAGCCCACCTGTCCGTCTGCACTTGAGGTTTCCCAGATGCCTCGGGCAGGGCAGCCTAGGAAAACACAAATTCTCTGTTGAGGGGAAACCTCACTCACCCCGGCCTTCGCCCCCGGTGACTAATCCTGCCAGTCAGACTTACTAGATATTCAGCAGACACTGGGAGGACATTTTTTTCTTTCCCAGAACAGAGAGGAACCCCAGCTTTTTCGCTGAGAATCAACACACCTGATGCTACACAAGCAAGAGCACCCCTGGCCCTGGTCTGCCTCGGTTGCTCCCCTGGACCGCGGCAGTCCTCACTGGGCCAGCCCGCAAGGCATGAGGACCCTAGTCTGGGTCCATAGGAAGAGATACCTTTCTGCCAGCAAGCCGATTTCTTTTTTACTCCTGAGAACAAAGTTCTAAGCAAACTTCATTTTCACAGGTCCATTTTTCTAGAATGTTCCCTCTACAGTAAGCGGTAGTTTGTTTCCTTCCTTTTTAAATAATCTGTCCAGCAGTAGAGTCGGAGAAGTGGCTGATGTCGAAGAAAAGTCGGGCCCCTCTGAACTGAAACCCCAAACGAAGTGACAATCCAACAACCTCTCCGGACCCCGGGCCCCACACTCACCAGAGCATCCATGTTTACCACAGGGCCACTCCCCACACACTCCCTCCCCCTCTGGGGGGCCCAGAGGACTCTGGCTGCTGCAGCTACCCCTGCCCCACCTCCACAATGGCCTTAGGTGGCTTCAAAATTTCAAAGAGAAGGTTGTGGTTAGTGGCATAAATGAACCTGACTGTCTCCTCCACCAGGTTTCACCCGGGGTTCCCGCAGGGGCCCACACAGATTTCTTGGATGGACCTGGGATAGGAAAATGCAAGGGAGGAGTGGAGGGAGCCTGCCGGCAGAGTCACGCTCCCACACCTGCTGGGGATTTGAGCAAGACCCACCGCAGTGGACACACCCAAGTGGGTATGGCTTTGAACAACTGGCAGAGGCCAGAAACAAGCAGGATGACAACTTCCATCCCCTTCCAGGAAGGTTTCTGGGTACCCTTGTCTGCAGAAGACAATGCCTGAAAATGTGCCCCGAGACGCGCCCCAAATGGCATTTACCAGCCAGGCTGTTCCTTCCCAAGCCTCTTCTATTTATTGGGACTAGGAGACAAATTGCAGTTTAAAGCTGGGTCTCTTCAAGTAACTGGCATGGGATTCAACACAAACCATGAGAGCTGGTCCTCAGTTCCAGCAACATAAGGCCTGTTTAGACGTCAGTGGAGAGACTGGGCCCAGTTGGGTCCAATCAGTTTACCAGCCCAGGCAGCCCTCGGCGGCCAAGGGGAACACACCCCCAGCAGCTAACCAGAGTCGGCGACTCCAGAGGAACTCCCGAGAATCCGATTCTCTGCTTCATCCTCTCCACAGCGCTTGTCGCATGACTGATTAGATTTACTTTTTGCTGTCTGGCCCCTCAGAAGGATGACCTTAACTTTCTCAGATTTTCTATGAACACTCCTGGACATGTGGTCACCAAAGGAGAGACAGTCAGAACACAGGACAGCAGATGACAGCTGCTTACTGCAACAGTGCTGAGAGTGGCCCAAGAAATAACCATGATGGGTGGGCCGGGGGGACAAAGTAAGGGACAAAAGCTCGGGAAAGCCCACTGCGAGGCCCCCTGGAAAGGCCTCCTCGGGCGCAGCCTGACAGGAGGACAGCAACAGAAGGAGTCCCGCCCTTGGGTCCTTTCTTCGCTCCTGTCTTTACTCAGGACAAGGTGGAACATGGAGGACACAAGCTTCCCCGAAAACTGCACAAAGGGCGCAACCCCCAGGCACAAATTAGTCTGATCTGCATTTTTGGTCGGATAAAATACAGGAGATCCATGCTTAAGGGCAGGGTAGGGTGAAGAGGGTAAGTGGTAGGTCTCAAATTTAAAACCTTTATGTAGGTCTGACTCTAGAGTCCCCTTTCTTTCCCTATGTTTTCTCCCAACATATTTATTCTGAAAATGAGAGTAAGCTAGTTTCCCCAAATGATCCACAGTAGCTCTTCCCTAAATAGCAAGCTCCTCTGGAACACTCAAAATGAGTCCACTTTTAAAAATTCAATCCACACATCATTTTTCAGGATTTCTGCATATTGTAAATGAGGTGTATTATAAAAGCTGAGGCATCCCTCCCAGAAAGCAGCTTTTCTCCCAGGCCTGTTCCTTTGTCCTGCGTGGAAGAATCCAGAGGCCTGGGAGCCAGGGCCAAAGCCGTGAGCAGCCGCGAGCAGCCGCAGCTCATTCGCCCCTGAGTGGGGGGTGCAGGAGGCTGGAAGAGCCCACAGTACAAGAACCATCATGAGCCAAACTGGCAGAAGCTCCCTGAAAAGCAATTCCCACATCTGTGCAAACTGTCTGTAAAACTCTTCTTATTTCTTACTTAGCCTCTGGTAGGAGCTGAGGGTAAAAAGGACCTAGAAAGCAGGCCAGGAAAATGCTGCCCCAACTTCTCCAAACACTGTTCTCAGAAACACAAACTTACAAAAAATAAAAATAGAAGCACATGAAAAGCACATTTCCAGTGCCCTTTAAAGCATATTGCAGGAATCACAGGCATTTTAAAGGCCTTACAAGATTAAATGTCTGATTTACAAGAAGGATTGGCACACTGCATCCTGGGACAGCCCCCTCTCCCACCATGTGCTCATACTCGGTGATCCTCCGAGGACTCGGGGTGGCAGGGGTGGGAGCACAGGGGCCAGAGGCCAGGACGGCCCAAGGACCTGACCTGGCCACACACCTGCACGTGCATCTGGAATTAGCTCATACTTTAATTTGCTCAGACAACCTATCAGTGCCCGCATCCCCCAGCCCACAGGGAAGCATGCAGTCAGTCTGCTAGTATGGGGCTGAGGGCAACTGAAAGCAAGAGGCAGATTGTCTGACAGAGATGAAATGCTCCCAACATGTCTTCTGAATATGCACCAAGATACTGAGACCCCTTCAAGGAAACCTGGACGAAACACTGGCTCACCTCTGGAGTGTTCTTCTTGAACTCTCGGCTCTGCTCGATGAGCCGCTTTCTGGACTGCTCACTTTCATCTTGCCGGTTTGCCAATACTGTTGCGGTGGCATCAAGTTCCCTCTGTTGAGAGAAACAAAAAAAAAGGAAGATAAGATTGTAATTGCACTTTGTACCAGGGGAGATCACATTTGCATTTGACCAGAACACTGGGGAGAGCCCCCACACTCCGGGGACTGCCGGCAGAGGCAGCGCTGGGGCAGAGGAGGCGCTGGGGCAGCGGGCAGGGAAAGGGACTGGTCACGGGGTTCCCATACTGCCCCACCCACCAAACTCGCTCAGCTCTGATGTGTGTATCGATGCCACCCCACAATGACTGTTTCTATAACAATACACGCAGGCACATTTTTCTTTGCTAAGACCAGAGCCAGGCCAGTGCCCAAATGCCGTGCCTCCCTGGAGTCACTCGCTTCTGTTCTTAAGTATCTCTTCTCGTCACATCTCTGTGCTCTGTCCTTCCGACTTGCCCTGTGCTCTCCTCACTGGGACATTTCTGTGTGGCTGTCCTTCAACGGCGCAGGCCCAGGGTCTTTTGTAAGGACACTTCATTTGTGTTCATTCAAGAAATATTTATTGTGGGGCTAGACACCATCTCCAGGACCATTAAAGTTAACCTGACGCTTGTTTCCCAGAGGAAGTTTCATAAGGCAAATTCCAAGAATAACGATTTCTGGTATCTGGGAAACTGTCAGAAATGCGGTGCCTGGAAACAGTGGGTGTCCCCGAACTGTCTCGCTTGCACTGGAACTCTACGAAACTCCAGGAGCGGGTTCCCTGTAACAGGACCTGTCGGGGACTAAGGGTTCCGGGCTCTGCTGCACACAGCACACTGACACTCAGAGCATCAGAGAGCTTGTGCCCTGACCTCAGACCCACAATTCTGGGAGGAGCCACCAAAAGGATCTGTTTCACACAAGCCCAAGCAGACGGGCTCAGAAACGTGTTCCAGGATGACAGCAGGGGCTTAAGGACATGTTCCTGTAGCCACCGAGAGGCCCATTTTAGAGACACACTAGCACATTCTGCTTAGCATTAAAGTAGCTGCCCCAAGTGTCTTCTCAATGGTCTGGACTGTGCCTCCCCCAGGCGCAGGCACAACAGAGTAAAGACCCCCTCGAAGGCTGAAAGGCAAGGAAAATCAGAGTGGAAACCCACCCAGAGCCATCTGGGAAGCAGGTGAGAGTTTCTCCACCCACCGCATGAAGTTGCACTGCCTTCCTTTTTGGTGGAAATACTGAGGTGGTCTGTAAGCCCTGCTGGTGAACGCTTCACTCATGGGGTGACCCACTGCCAGACGGGATGACAGAGCCTGGAACCAGCATCCAGTGTGCTGTCGACTTGGAAACTGTAGACAATTTCAAGGGGGGGCGGGGCTATGGGGTGAGGGGAGAATACCACACCATACTTTCCCCTTTAGTGTTTCTGGCATTACAGCAAATCTTGGGCAAACAAGTCCAAAAGAATAACGTGGGCTAGAATTCAAGAACAGATGTCAAAGCTACTGCAGAAAAGAGGGAAACACTGCACATTTTGATAGACCACATTTGAAACACAACCCAGTCAAGTGAAGGCAGGAAAAAAAGAGCAACCGAAACCAATGTGGTAACATGGGGATGGAGAGAGAGGAGAGCAGTCACAGATAAGCAGAAGGCTTTTCAAAAATATAAACAATCTGGTAGGAGGAGGACTTAGACATCTATATTTAAGCAGCAGCAGCAGAAGTTATAAAGGGAGACTTCAAGAAGGGGGGAAAAAAGCCAATATTGAAATATGACAAAAAATGTAAAGTTGATGTCTCGGTTCCAATCACACACGATGCAGAAACTTGGAGAAAAACAAAGAGCCCTGACTGCTTTCAATGGGGCCCTACTTCCAGACCGGGCAGGAGGGGCGGGGGAGGGGCACAAAAACAGCAGCGTTTGGTGACTTCTGTGGCCAAGTGCTGGGGGCTGGGGGTTCATGAGAGGGAAGAGCTCAGGGATAGCAGCGGTGGGCAGTTGCTTTGAAGACGTTGAAGAGCACAATGTCTAGTCTGTGATCCCTGAAGTTCCCCACGAGCCCTAGCCTGACTGAGCCTGGGGCAGGTCACCTGCTGGTAGGAAAGCCCACCTTTATCACAGGGCTGCAGGGCCAGCAAGCCAGAGGAGACCTGCTGCTGGCAGTCAGGGACCCTCCAGGGGCCTGCGCCACTCCCTCCCCACCCATGCGGACACATGCAGGTCCATGTGAGAAACCCCGACAGGGGTCTCCAAATTTAATGCCACCTGCCACCTGCCACCTGCCACCTGCCACCATGAAAACAGACTGGCACCGTGAGGAGGAGAGACTGAACGTCCACATCTCTGGGTGGGGGGCTGGGGGCGCAGGGGGGAGCTGTCACCTCCCCAAATCTGGTTGGTCAGATGTAAGCCTCACGGTCTCTGACCTAGTCCCTTGAGAAAACACCACTGAATCCTGAAGGACACCAAGGCTTTCTCAGGCTGTGGGGCAGCACAAAGGAAGAAGACAGCTATTAAACAAGCCAAATACTGTTTTATTACCTACCTAGCTGGCCTACACTCCAAGTGTCAAATATAACAACACATTAACAAGGGAATTTAATGTGTTTGGGCAGGTGGCAGTGGGGTCTAAAATACAGAACCCTCGGCCCCTGAGTCGCTGGTCACATGTGAAAAAGGAGCTTGGAGAATCGTCACATCTGAAAGGCAGCAAATACTTGCAAAGACCAAAAAGGGAAACAAAACCCTAAACATCCAGCAATGCCATACTAGCATATCCACTCAAGGTGAAATTTCCACTGCAACGGTGAAAAACAAGTACAGTCCTGCATGCACGACATGAGATGGGTGATCTTCAAGACACACTTAAGCGAGGAAAGCAAAGTGCAGAACAATGCCGACCCTGCGTAAGACAGCCTCTGTAGTAAGACAGCCTCTGTACACCCGCCTGCACGAGCCTCGTTTATGGCAAGCAAGTCACAGAAAACACTTGGAGCTGTCCTTGGCTCCGAGGGGACACCGGGGAAAGAAAGAAAGGACTTGCTGTTCTCTCTCTCTGTGTGTGTGTGTGTGTGTGTATCTTTTGGCCATTTTGCCATGTGCATGGATTACCTAACTGGAAAAACTACAACATATTTCAATTTTAAAAATCCTGCTAATGTGATAAAACACACAACATATAATTATAGGAATGTATTTTATCCAGCGTGCCCCCCCAGAAAGTGTTCACGGTCTGCATGTCCACCTGACCGGGGTTGGTGATGACCTCCTAACTCGCTCTGCTGATGGGAAAAGTGAGGCGAGCACATCCTTTGTCAAAACAACAGCTGTTTCTTGCCCAACGCACTGCGCACTGGCCAGGCAGAGAAAACGCCCCTCGGCCGAACCAGGCTTTCCCGAGGAAGGGCAGAGGAGGGTGTCCCCTCAGCACTACTGAGAGCTCTCCTGCTGCTGGAAACACCTGCCGGCCCCAGATCTGAAGTGACAGGAAGCTGGCAGGGCTGGCAGCAAACCCACAGGCCCTGAACACAGAGGCACTTCCAAGTAGGCTGGGAGAGCTGGAGAAAGTACTGGAAAGCGTCTTGCCAGGATGGCACCTGGAGAAACTGCAGGGTATTCTTTCTAAGTGACTAGGGGACGACTGATGTCAGGAAGCAGCAAGGTCCACGCAAAGACCCCTGGCCGCGGGACCAAGGGCTGAGCGTGCACAGCGACACCTCTCTGTGTCAGGCGGGGGCTGCTTCGGCTTGTCAGATGGCTGCAATCCTACTGTCCTCATGGATTAGAACGTGTGGCGTGCTTTTCTCCACTGCTGACAGATCCTAAAAGGATCTCTCTGCCTGAACCTCAGTCTCTTAGACAAGTATTAAAGACTTATTAAACACAAAAAATAAACAGCAACCACAAAACAGCCTGTTTAAAAGAAACTGCGGGAAAAATCTTTCCCAAATAAAACAAGTCTTTCAATAATGCCAATGATCAGTTTGGAATTGCTTGCCTTTAAAGTGTGTGTATGTCGGCTGCCTGTTTTAAACTGGGAACTATCTGCAGTGCCACTTCTGTGAGACTCTTTCCCCAGGCCAGGCCAGGCCAGCAGAGAGTCCCCTGTCCCCTCAACCCCTCAGCCCAGTGAGAAATCACCAGCTAACTGCACCAGCAATGCCCGCATTGCCTTTTTATTGTCACTAACTTCAAACCAGAGTTCATTCAGCTGATGTTTCTTTAGGGACTGGTAAACTAATCAAACAGCAAATCCTATATAAGAATTTAAAAGATTTATTAGCGAAAACAAAGAATACACGTGCGAAAAGAGAAAGGCCAGCCACAGTTCTGCACCAGGTAGTCCACATGACATTTCCTATCGTTTCCATCAACAGAATCATCTGGACAAGTATTAGCTCCTCTGGCTATGATGAGTCGCAGGGCCCAAGCCCACCTACCAGCCTCCCTCTTGTCACCCCCTCCCGGGCCCCCTACACAGAATACCGCCAGCCCTCAGACAGCAGCCTTGGAGAATCCCGGCTTGGGATCTAGGCTCCACCTCTGCTGCAACCTGTGTAGTTTTGTTCAAATAACATTCTTTAGGATAACACATGTTAAGTGCTCCATCAAGGTAAAGTTTTCTGTACTATCAGAGCCATGCACTTGACCTCAGGCCTCGATTCATTCTGCCACCAGTTTCCCAACTAGGGTGGGGGCACCAGGGATGAACAGGTGAACCAAGAGCTGACCTTGAACCTAGGTGCCCATGGTGCAGCCGAAGAAACCAGGCAGGCATGGAAGAGTGACCAGACAGAAGGGACCAGGCCAGTGCAACAAAAACAGAAGCAGAAGGTAGAAAGGGGTGAACACACAGTCAGCAAGAAGGCTCTTCAAGTTTTTGGGAAAGATGCCCATCTTGGTTGTGGCCTGTGGGTGAGACTGGCTCAGTCCCCATCATCATCATCCTCCTCGTCTGGGCTCACAGAGCACCTGGCACAACCTGTGGGGTAGGTGCTGTCGGAGACCCAGAAGGAGGGCTCAGAGGAGCCAGGAGCCTGGTCAAGTCTCCCCGGGGTGAGGGTG